TTTGTTTGATTGCTTACTTTCCTAACGCTTTTTTTTATTTGCTAATCATTTCTTGTTCAATTTAACACTTCCTTGTGGGATCGACCGTTCAAATTGTACTACAATTGACCGCTTGTTTTTGTACACGTTTGGGCGTAATCAACTGGTTCGATGCTTGGCTAATTTGTTGTCATTTTTGTCCCCACTGTTGTCGTTTGTATGTGTTTCTATTACATCCGATGTTGTCGTTTGGTCATGGTTGTCGTTTCCGTTGCATCCCCTGTTGCCGTATGTAGTCGCCTGATGTCGTTTATACCTTACCTAGCTGTTTTCCCGTGTTGTCGTTTTGGCTCTCGTGTTGCCGTTTATATGGCTTATTGCATCTCCTTTTTCGGTGTATTGGCTAATTTGTTGCCGTTTTTACCTGAGCCTATTGCATCCCCTGTTATTGTATTGGTTAATCTGTTGCCAATTTTACCTGAGCCTATTGCATCCCTGGTTGTTGTATTGGCTTCCCTGATGCCGGTTTTACCTTACCTTATGGCCGGTCCTATTGTGGCATTGGCTCTGTTGTTGCCGTTTTTACCTTACCTTATGGCCGGTCCTATTGTGGCATTGGCTCTGCTGTTGCCGTTTTTACCTTATCTTATGGCCGGTCCTATTGTGGCATTGGCTCTGTTGTTACCGTTTTTACATTATCTTATGGCCGGTCCTATTATGGCATTGGCTCTGCTGTTGCCGTTTTTACCTTACCTTGTGGCCGGTCCTATTGTGACATTGGCTCTGCTGTTGCCGTTTTTACCTTACCTTATGGCCGGTTCTATTGTGGCATTGGTACTGCTGTTGCCATTTTTACGTTAGCCTATGGCCTCTCATATTGTTGTTATTGTTTCTGATGCTGCCGTTGTTACCTTAGCTTATGTATCTCCTATTGTGGTATGTTTCTGCTGTGGCCTTTTGTACCTTAGCCTATAGCATCCACTGTGGATGTATTGCCACTTCTATTGGTGTATTGCCTCCCCTCTGCTCGTATCGCACATGACCACTTTACAAACAGGTAATGGTGGCTATGATGAAATTGGTCCAAAATTAGAACACTCGTCGTAGCAACGTCCTGTAGGTAATGTGAAACTTTAGTTACCGCTTCAGTGGAACTTATAGAGGGCCTCTGAAGCATGGCAGCTACGTCTCTCCTACTTATAAGGATGATGCTCTGAGTGTTATTGCGATTAATTAGCCACAAATTTTCTGAGCTAGTTATAACATTCCCTCACTTGTAACGTGTAAAAACCAGGTAATAGGAATGGTTAATGGCCGTGATGTTTCGAAAGAGCAGTTGAGCCATTTATAACAATGTCTCGTTTTAAGAGTGACACAAATAACTGACTCACGCGCATGGACGTTCCTCTTGTGCGTTGTTACACTGCTTTCTTTGCTATTTTAGATGCCGAGAGGGAAAGCCGACGATGAAGCCACTCTACACTAGACTGAAAAACAGAAAGAGGAGTTACTTATGCGGCTCGCTGCCTACAATCATACTGGCAACGGCCGGAAGCCTGATTTGAAAACATGGGAGGATTGGACGAATCAACTTCAAGAGTTCTTTAAGGATCAAGTCACTCATGCGAAAGTGCAGCAAATGTAAGTTCATCTCAAGGCCAAGTTTGACCATGAGCTTACATTACGCAATAACACAGGCCTTGGCTGGGACCCTGTTACTGGTGCTGTGACTTGCACGGATGAATATTGGGAAGATTTTGCCAAGGTAAAATGTCTAAACAATTGTTCTTTGGGTATTCAGTTCTTGCAAACATTTTGTGAATGTCATTTTGTTTGCTTATTCATATGCAGAACAAGAAATGGGCAAAATCAACAAAGAATCAGCCTCTTAAAAACTGGGAGTTGTACTATGAGGCCTTTGGTGGTACGAGGGCAACTGGGGCACTTGAGAAGGGATTGGACAATCCAACAAACAATGAGGAGGGTCTAGTACACGTCTCCGACGAAGAAGGGGCGACATCTGATGAGGGTGGCAGCGAAGATGGTTTCATCGCATCCATGCGGGCCGGTTTGAACAATGCAGCTAGAGGTCTCAACATTGCGTCATCCTCCAAAGCGATCGGCAAGAAACCAGGCAAGTCCTCACGTAAGGTAATATGTGATCCTATAGCGAGGGATTTAATTGGCCGGCTTGTCTCTTCTATAGAAAGCAAGCATAGTAGTCGCACTAAAAGCTCTAGTGTGA